CTCACTGACATGATGCCCTCAGTACAGCTCTTCAGGGAAGGGACCTTCAATCCAAGGAGTGCTCTGTCATCATTCCAACAGCAGACTGTGGGATCTGCTGCATGGGGAGAGTGTGTAAATTGTGCACCATTCAGGAACACTCTGCCTAGAAGGGACACCCTTCATGTTGCTCATGCTTCAATGGCTAGAGGGTGTTACATTGCCACCTCTACCTTCTGGCAAGAGTAGGACAGTGGACTCCTTCCCTGAGCCTTTAGGAAAGGAAACAGGTATATAATAAGTGGATCTCTGTGCAACAAACCAGCAATGTAGTCATTTTTCTATTTTACACAAGAAGAAACAGAGGCTGAGCAGCTTCACTTACATAGCTTGTAGGGGGAGAGGTGGGATTTAAACTGGGGAAGGCTGACTGCAAAGCCTTTGCTGTTTCCTGTGTATCACTCCCTGTGGTGCATGTGAGATGGCTGTGTCACAAGGTAGGAAGCTACAGCCTGGCAGTCAGAGGATGGGTAATGGGCTGTGAACAGTCAAGAGGAAGGAGACATCACATCCAGTTGGAGAAATCCAGGTGGCCTTCAATGGGGAGGTGGCACTTGCCTCCAGATGGTGGATAGGTCAGATTTGGATGTTTAGAGATATTTATTCTTTCGGTTAGTCAGTTATTTTTCTGGGTCTCCTGTGCCTGGAGAACCAACTGTTTAGAAATCATTTAGTCACACTGCACCCTCACTAGAGAGGTCTGGTGTAATGAGGTGGTTGGGAGCCAGTTCTGAACAGTGTTTGACCAAGGAGTGTTCCTGGAGTGGGCCCAGGGGAGAAATTTGATGCAGTGGGCAATTAGGAACTGAATTTTATTGCAGATTTTGTGTACCCTTCCTCTTTCCGGTTCCCTCCTTCCTCCTCCCCTTTCCCTTTCCTTTCCTGGCCACCTCCCCTCCCCCTTCCCTCAGTGCCCGCCTTGGGCCTGGGCTGGTGCTGAGGGCTGGGAAAGGGGAGGAGGCAGACACACAGCTCGGCCTCCCTGGGGGTCTCCCAGCTTAAGGATGGGAGGGATCATGTTGCAGGGCCCCAGGGTCCCAGTGTTTGCCTAGAAACTCAAGAAGGAACCTCCAGTGTGAGGCAGAGTGACCCCTCGGAGGGGTGTGGGTAACTGGAGTCAAAGAAAATAAGCCCGCCACGGGGAGCCCGCAGGACGCCTGCAGGCAGCCAGGGCGGCCAGGCCTGCCGCGGAGAGGGGCGCGGGGCCTCTGCTCCGAGGGCTCCAGGCCCTGCGGGCTGGGGCAGCTGGTCCCTCGGGCTCACCCAGCCGCCTGCACCTGGCCTGGCGCACAGCTGTGCTCCAGCGAGCTGCCCCACCAGCAGCCAGTTTCCGTCAGAGCCGCTACAGCGGAAGTTGGCGCTTCGCTGATTTTCCGGCTTCTCCTCCCCCACTCAGTGAGAACTTGAGGTTAGGGGACAGACCCTGCCAGCTCCCCCCGGAGGGTGTGGATGAACCGAGGACTGAGAGGAGCTGGGAGCCACGCTCACATGAGGCTGAGGCTCCGCCATACACCTTGTCCTTCCAAATTCTCAGGCTGCAGCAAAGGGCCTGAGGTCTCTTCTTGGAGGAGCTGTTGTGTCTTCCTGGGGCTCCAAAGAGGAGCGCCACTGTGTCTGTGTTCTACCGTACGTCCCCTCTTTCCTTCTATAGCATCAAAGGATCTCAGTGCTGGAAGGGATGGGGGTGGTTTACCAAGGCCAATGGTTGCTAGACCTACTGATGGTCACCTGGGAAGCTTTTAAAAAGGCTCATCCCCAGGATTTGAGCCCAGAAGTTCTGACTTGGCGGCAGGTTCCCTGGGGCCACACCCAATGTGTCTCAGTGACTTGTGCTTGGCCACCACCCTTTCTCCTGTGACTTGATCGTTCTCATTAAGGGGACAGCTTTCAACACCTGCTGGGAGGACCAGGCTTGGTTTATTGCACTCTGTGAGCACTTGCCAGTTCCCTGGGCACCAGTCACCCCAAACCCCACACCCAGCCAGGCGTGGATTTCTGCACCAGTTATGTCCCATTTGATCCAGGAAAGGAGACTTTCCCCAGGTGGGTGACCAAGGTGTTTGTAGGCCCTAGCGGAGAGGAGAGCCCGGGAGCCAGAAACATGGTTCCCAGCGCTCCAGATGCCTGTGCTTGACAGACAGGAAGGGCTGCAGGGAAGCGTGGGCCATCCCTCCCCCAATATAAGAGCCACCGTTATAGTGGGGGATGGATTGTTACACACACACACACACACACACACACACACACACACTCTCTCTCTCTCTCCAGACACTGTCTTCTGGATCTACACCCAGAGTATCTCTACAGGAAAACACTTTCATCTTCATTTCTGAATTTCAAGAAAAGCTTCACAAAAAGTGATGGCTTTGCTCCAGGTGTGGACTCTACTCCTATAGCATCTCATGGGCTTGTTTTTGTATTACCAGGGAGGCAGAGGGTGCAGGGTGGACCTTCTCCTGCACTCACAGAGCACAGTGAGCTCAGAGGGCCTGTGGTTCTGAATTTCTGGTGGTAAAGAGCTAGGATATGTTGACTGTGTCCTCACATTGTACAGACGAAAGTCATGCATATGTGTCCAAGTGTGCACATATTTATAATATATTGTGTGTGTGTGTAAATACACACAGCTGGCCCTCCATATCCATGTGTTCTTCATCCAGGGTTTTAACATGGATTTTTTAAAAAAATCAAGAAATGCATTTGTATTGAACGTGTAAAGACATTTTTTTCTGTCATTTCCTCCTAAACACGATAGTATAAAAGTGTTTATGTAACATTCACATCTTATTAGGTACTAGAGATGGTACTATATGGAGGGTATGTGAAAGTTATATACAAATACTATGCAATTCATCTATCTATCTATCTATCTATCTATCTATCTATCTATCTATCTATCTATCATCTAGCTTTTGAAATAGGATATTGCTATGTTGCCTAGGACAGTCTTGACCTCCAGAGCTCAAGCCATCCTCCTATCTCAGTCTTCTGAGTAGTGGGGACTACAGGCACATGCCACTGCACCTGGCAGCTACTATGCCATTTTATATCTCCTGAAATGATTTTTTTTCCTGGTATGGGGGGCCAAACCCAGGGCTTTCCATATGCTAGGCTAGCGCTCTACAATGGAACCACATCCCCACTATATATAAGAGACTTGATCATGCAAGGATTTTGGTACCTGTGGGGGTCCTAGAACTGGTCTTCCCACATATTAAGGGTGACTATATATGCAGAGAGGAAGAGAGAGAACACACACAATCGGTGAGGCAAGTAGGGTGAATGCTAACTGTAGTGGTTCATCTGGCTAAAACATATAGATGTTCTTTGTACTGTTTTTATTTTTTTAATGTTTTGCAATTTTAAATTTATTTCTGAATAAAAGTTTTTAAAGGTGTATGTTTTATTCAAAGACAGGAGGCAATCTGAGTCTGTGGGGTACTTGTCCATGGAAGTCTCACTTGTCACATATTATCATCTATGCATTTTATTTTTTATTTTTTAAAAAGGGCTAGTGGTTTCTCAGTGGTACAGAGCCTCTTGATATGTGTGGTGGGGGAGAACTTGGATGTGGCCTCTGGTCTTTTTTTTTTTTTTTGTACCAGGGATTGAACCAAGGGGCACTTTACTGCTGAGCTACATCCTCAGCCCTTTTTGTTCTTTATTTTGGCATAGGGTCTCATTAAGTTGTGTAGGGCTTTACTAGTTGCTAAAGCTGACCTCAAACTTGCAATCTTCCTGCCTCAGCCTGCCAAGTTATGGGGATTACAGACGTGTGACACCATGCCGAAACATTTATGTGTTTTAGGATTGACTTAAATGACTGGGCTCATGCAAACTTCCCTGGCCTCCCAGTTCATGTGCCCTGATTTCATGTATTTTTCCTTCCACTTATTCTGACAGGTGGAAGTGAATTATTTTTAATTTATGTGTTTCTCCTGCTGGACTATAAGTTTCATGTAGACAGGACCTTGTCTGTCTGTCTTATTCCTGGATGAATCCCAAGAGCAAAGCACAGCTGGAATATCGTATGGATTCAAGGAACATTTGTTGAAAGAATAACGAAAGAGTGAATGAATGACATTGTGGGCCACAGATGCACAAAGGTAGACACACATGTGCAAACAAGCTTATGTCCTATTTTCTTAGCTCTATTGCTCTGTTCAGCAGTCAGACTGGAGATGCCAGGATTTGGAGGGCAGCTGGCAGGGTGGCATCATGCCTCTGGAAATGAAATCCTGGGAATGAATGACATCCTTTGGGAACAGAGGAGGATGCCCCTTCCCAGCCAGGGCCCCCTTCTCCTCCCGACCTCAAACTCAGAGGCTCTTCCGGGGGAGAAATGATGCTCTTGTGGCAGGTGGCACAGGCATCCCAGAGACAGCGGGCTGTGAGGGGGGCAGGGATGCTGAGTGGAAGCTACTGCCTTTCTGGAAACAAAAGAGCCCTTTAGAGTCACTCGGTGTCATGTCTTCCTGCCCTGGGCTTCTGCCAAGCTTCCCTCTTCCTATTGTGGAGCAGCGGCAACACCACAAATCCGACCTGCATTTGCTCCTGATGCAAAGCCATGGGGCGTGAGGCAAATGGGTGCAGGAGCAAAGGGCAGGGCCGGCCTCATAGCCAAAGTGTGCTCATCAACAGAGAATTTTTTGTTTTAATCTTTGAAAACCTAATGCATCTACGTATTCAAAATTGAAAAAGCATAAAAACCCATAAATGCCCCCTGTCCCGCTGCCCTTAAATGCCCCCTGTCCCGCTGCCCTCCATCCATCCAGTTCCCCTGCTGATGTTCTTAGGATTTCTTAGGATCCCTTCATGGAGAGTTCAGGTATACATGCAAGAACAGAATTCCATACATGCTGTCAGTCTCTTCCCTTGTTCACTTATTGATAGGCTTTGTCCTTTCTATAAGTGTTTATAAAAAGAATGTCCTTGATTCAGTTTTGCTTTTGTCTTCATAGTATTCCACAGTGTCAATGTCCTAAGGAAAATGCCCTGCACAACTAAGGAGCCAGACCAGCCTCTATCTGCCATGGGCTATGAGGAGCCGTTGGTTCCCCAAGGGTGGTGAAGAGTATTGAGGAGTGTCACAGAGAGACATCGGGAACCCTAGCCCCACACTGTCCATCAGGCACAAGTACTTTTCAGCATTGAAATACGACTGTCCAAATTGACATGTGTGATAAAGGTAAAATGCAAACTGGATTTTGAAGATTTCACTTACAAATGTAAAGCATCTTATGCATGATTTTTGTATTATTATAAATCAGGACAATGATATTTTTACTATATTGGTTAAATAAAATATATCATGGGAATAAATTCTACTAGCTTTTTTTT